AGAGATAGGGACCTATCCTCCCTACCTCAAACACACACATACACACATATATACGTATCCTACCCCACCACACCCTCCTAGGAAATTATTAATAGAACATGGATACCTTTGGGGCAGAATTCCTATGCTTACTATAGCTCTGATAAATAACCATTATGTTCTGTTAAATAAGAAAAAAGTGTTCAATTTGATTTCTAAAATATATACAGATGTTGTATATATTTGTAAGCATAAAGAAAGGTTTAGAAGGATACATATTAGAGTGCTAACCCTAATTCAACCAAGACAGTCAGGACAGACAACAGAATAGAAAATAAAAAATGACCGATATTTTCTTAATATGTCTGTGATGTTTTACTTTTTACAAGAGAAATGTTGACATTAAAACTTTTTTAAAGTTCAATTAAAAATTTTTAAGGTGGTTTATGAAACAAAATTTATAATATAAAATTATACATACTCATGAATAAATAAGAAATAATAATACATACAAAGATTACCTCCAGATGATGAGATTATAGGTACATTTTATTTTCTTCTTTAGTATTACCAGCATTTTATATTTTTTCTACCATAAGCAAGTAAGAAAGTAAATCAGTAAAGACACAGATAAACATGAATAGTATTAAAAATAAAAAAATTTAATTAAAAAATACATATCAACTAAGGAAGAACTATAATATCCCTACATAAAAAATATGAACATAGGAAGGAAGTGAAAATTCCACAAAGAAACACAAAGCATTAATAAACATAGAAAAGTATTCATTCGAATTGAATACAGAGTGACTGCAAATTACAAGATTCCATCTTTCTGCCTACTAAATTGTGAAATATGGTTTAAGTATACAAATAAACATTGGAGAGCTAATTTATATGACTGATTGAATACACATCTCTATTCTCTTCTAAAACCACTGAAAACTAATATTAAAAGAACAAAAAAGTTATAAAACCTATGAAGCTGCAAAGTGAAGACAGCACAACAGAGAAGAGATGTTATAGAATTTTAGAAGGCTGGAAAGCAGGTGTATCAGCTGAAACTCAACTAGCCAAGTAGTAAAGTCAAAACTGAAATATCTGCTAGCTGGGGTTGAAAGATGCTATAAGCTGAAACATGTCAGAGAACTCCTGAAAGGCTCAGGGACTGGAGTAAGCAGGTAGAAATGCAGATGGTACTAAAAGCACAGCTGATTTAAAGTCTCTACAGTAGTGAAAAGCCAACGTGTCCTCCTCTATCCGTCCCCATTGTATGAAGATGACTGGAGGTTTATCTCCCAGGAGAGGCTCAAAAAGAATGACCTTGAACTTGGGGGCCTGAAATACATTCAGGGCAGAAATCCATATAGTTAAAAAGGAGATTAAGTGAAAGCCTATGTAACAAGTGATGAGCCCATTTTTTTTTACTTCCCCTGGCTCCCCACATTGGCATGAAACTTAAATAATGCTTTGATCTCTTATTTTCACACCTGCAAGAGATTTATCCACAGGGAAACTGATCATCTCAAGAGAAGAAAACCTATGGATAGTAGCAAGAGTCCCCAACGTGCCTACCTGATCATGGTGAAGTCCATTAGCTGACAAGCTCTGTTCATAATATACTTAGAGCTTTTCATAGTTTTTTATTGTTTTGCTTCACAGTATAGGTGGATCATCAGACATTTGTGGAAAAAAGCAATTTGAACTTGCTGAAAATAGACACAATTCACCAGGAAGAGATAAAACTTCAAAAATTATTACAAATATTCTCAGAGATAAGAAAAAAACATTGCATATGTAAAATGAGAATGGGTTTTATTTTAAAAAATGGCCTTTCTAAGAATAAGATGTTTTCAGAAATTAAGAATTATAACGCTGGGTGCAGTAGCTCATGCCTATAATCCCAGTTCTTTGGGAGGCTGAGGTAGGTAGATCACTTGAGCCCAGGAGTTTGAGACGAGCCTGGGTAACATGGTGAAACCCTGTCTCTAAAAAAAGCACACAAAAAAATTGGTTGGGTGTAGTGGCGCACCTGCAGTCCTAACTACCTGGGAGGGTGAGTGGGGAAGATCATTGAGCCCAGGAGACCAAGGATGCAATGAGCTGTGATTTGCCGCTGAACTTGAGCCTGGGCAACAGAGTGAAATCCTGTCTCAAAAAACAAACAAACAAACAAACAAAGAAACAAAAAATCAATATGAAATATAGGAGAGAAAAATAAGAAAATCAGAGTTTATTCTAAGAGAGTCAACATCTCAGTAAGATGAGTTCTTGAAAGAGACAATACATTAGCAAAGAAAATTTCTCTAAATTGAAGAAAGCTTCCCAGTTAAAAGATTCTGCATGAATGCAAAAAGGTGTAACTTACGCATATCAGCATAAACTTTTAGAATTTTAGAGAAAGGTAAGTCCTAATAGTTGTGATGGGGAATAGGTCACATAAAAAGATCAAGACTCAGACTGCAACACACTTCTTAATAGCAATACTAGAAACTAGAAGGTAATAGAATACAACCTTCAATCCTTTTTGAGGAAAACTATTAAGTAAGAATGCTATATAAAGTTAAACTAAAAATTAAACATGAAGATTGACTAAAGACATTTTTTCAGAGGTGTGACACAAAAAAATTACTGCCTCTGTACTCCTACAGTAAGCTACTGCAGAGCATGTTCTAGTAAGATGAAAGGGTATAAACCAAAAAGAGGATAGGATGCTATCTAGGAAAAAAGGAATATAATATAGAAAAGAAAGAAAATTTCCAGGATGATAGGTAAGGAAATTTCAGATGAAATCACTAGACAAAACACCTAGATAATAATAAAGTTCATACTAGAGCAGGATTTTATGGAAGTCTCCAGGAAGGATATCTTGTAAACTGTAATTGGCAAACACTGTATATATTTATTGTATGCAAAGTGATGTTTTGATATACTGTATGTATTCATTGCAAAATGATTAAATTGAGTTGGTTAACACATCTATCATCTTACATATTTATATATTTTTGTGGTGAGAACATTTAATATCTACTCTCTTAGCAATATTTAACTATATGATACATTATTATAGCCATAGTCACCATGTTATACAACAGACCTCCAGAACATATTCATCCTTACTGAAACTTTGCAGTCTTTGAGCAGTATCTTCCTATTCCACCCCCTGCCCCTGCCTCCAACCCCCCAGGCCCTGGCGACCACTGATTCAACCTTTTTAGATTCTACGTATAAGAGAGATCACAAAGTATTTGTCTTTTTGTGCTGAATAAGGCATTTTTAAGCTCCAGAGAAAATAATTATACAAAATTAAATTTAATAATAATACATAGTTCAGCTGTGCATACAATATTTACAGTCTTATAGGTATTTTGATATAGATATATTGAGAGGACAGAGGGAAGGAAATAGCACATGTAGGGGTATGTTATATATGTAGACAGAAATATGGAGAGAGGGAGGAGACGGAAAAAGGGAGAAAGAAAGGTAAAGCGAGGGAAGATAAAACGGAGAAAAGGAGGGAGCAGATAGTTATCAGTGAGAGCTAAATCATCAACTTCCATAGCAGAAAGTCAATACTAATAACTACATTAAGTCTGTTATTCAGAAATATGGATAAAAATACTAGAAGGAACAGATAAAAGAGGAAACATCTACAACAGTCAAAACTGCTTGTTGGAAGAGGAACGTCAGCAAGATGGCAGAATAGGACTTTCAAGGACTTGTCCCTGCCCCTCCCATCTCCCCCATCAGAAACATCAATTTGAATAACCATCCACCTACAAAAATAGTTTTATAAGAGCTATATAAACCAGATGAGAGATTATAGCACCAGGTTGTAGCACAAAAATAAGAAGGAATGTATTGAAGAGGGTAGGAAGAACAGACTTACATTACTGGCAGTACCCTTTCCCCAAACTCTGGCAACACAGTAGACAGAGATACCCTGTATTTGGGCAGGGAAGAGAGGGAAGTGAGAACCAGACTTTGCCTCAGACGCTAACATCAGGCCCACCTCAGTAAAAGCTAGAGTTGGGCAGCCCCTCCTGGTCCCAGACTCTAGGCCAATACTACATAATGAGCATTCAGACCTGCCTCAGCACCAGGTGGGATCCTGCTATTCCAAATTCCAGCCCTGCCTCAGATTCCAGACCAGCCCAGAGCCAGGTCAGTCCACAAAACCCAAGTTTACCCCCGCCCCAGTCTAGATTGGCATCCCTGACCTCCGGTACCAGGCCTGCCCCATGCTACGTCAGTCTTTATGGTCCCACCCTGAGGCAGACCCAGGCCTGACACCACAGAACCCAGTGCTGGGCTGGCTCCACAGACCCAGGATCCAGGACCCAGTTTCAAGGCCTACCCTTTAGCTCCAGGATCCAGATTGGTTGTTGCGGACCTAGCCTCTAGGCCAGCAATCACACAAAACAATTTGACAATGTGAATCAAGGATCGTAAAAAGATTCATATATACTTTGTACTAGTAATTCCACTTACAGGAATCTATAACAAGGAAATAGGTAGAGATAAAGTTAAAACATTTATTTAGAGAAATGTTCTTCAAGGCAAAATTTATAATAGCAAAACCCCGTATTATCCGATAACAGACTAATAGATATATATTGAGCAGAGTTGCCAAGCAATACATATTTGTCGAATGAATTAATGTTTTCACAGAGTATATAATAAGACCAGAAAATATGATACAGTGAAAAAAGTAACATAAAATTCTGTATAAGCATAATCCTTAATACTCAACATAGACTATAATACCACACCAAAAAAAAAAAAAAAAGAAAAGAAATAGAAAAAAGCTCAAAAGATTATCTCAAAGCTGTAGGATTATGAATGATTTTTATTTTGTTTTTCATACTTTTCTATATTTTTCAAAAATTTATAACAGGAATGTACTTATTCATATGGTCACAAAACTGTATTAATCAATATAGAGTTATAAATGCATACCAAACATATCCTAAATATTTATGCCCTTAATATTCTTGTTTTCACTAAGACTTCAGGTTTACCTTGGTCCAGAGGCACTGCCATTCATATCCAGTTTGAGTTCTTGGGGTTTAGTAAGCTCTTTTTCAGCAACCACTTCTCTCGACTTAAACAGAGCCTGAGCTCTTAACCTGTAAAAATTAATTTTAAAAATTTCTAATCTTGTGAAGCCTGATAACCTGAATGATAAACTCTGGAAAACCATGCTCTTTCAGCTAGATCCCCAGAAATTATTAAAACTCAGTCAAAAATAAATGAGTTAAAAATAAATGAGTAATTCTTAAATATACATAAACACACACAAAATGATTTCATAGTAACTTAAATTTTCTTTATAGAAAAGGTAGGGAAGATTAAGTTGGTTAGAATATCATTTAAAAATTCAAAATTATAGACACTTCAATAGGAGTACTTTAAATATCTGCTGTAGAAAGTTAATTCTTCCCTCTATTCATTGTAAGCAAGTGTATTGCAATCACCAGTGTCTCAACGTGAATTCTAGTAACTCTAACACTGACCCTGACCAACATTTATAGGGGAAGCATCCACTTCTCATACTGCCATTTCAAAGAATTAGGGGCACAGCTCACTAACCAACATATTTTCCCTGAGTCAAAGATGAATTCTTCCAAAAGAATTGGAAGACACTTTATCCATCAATGCTTACTTAGCCCTACATTGACATGTACTGAGGAGGGAAAGCCATTGAAAAACTCAGCAAAAAGGTCTTCTACCGGGAGTTTGAGTGTCAGTCACTGGTATCAAATATGTGACACTTATTTTCTTGTCTTTTAAGAAATGTTCTCTGGTTATCTGTAAAAGTATATTCTTTAACTATGAAATCAAACTCTGAAGTGTAAAAATATTATTAAAACAATATTGTCATTTTCATCATTGTCAAAAGACATTCCTATAATTCCAACTAACTGGCTGGAATTAATGTACAAAGTACATGGATTAATTCCCTAAAGGAACTTACAGTTTAAGACTAATATTTGGTGGTGACACATAGGTAGGAAAATGTAGATGCAAAATGCCCAAATCAGGGAATTATGAGAAAAGTGAAAAAACAGCAGCAATAATATCAGTCACAGTAGCTTCTACAGCAGTAGAGATGATCTTGATGACAGCAACTATGTTTAAGGAGTGCATTTTATATATACTATTGTACTGATCCTTACAACCACTCTATAACACAGTTACTTTTACCATTATCTATTTATAAATTACTAAAGTGATGGCTAAGCCAGGCACATAACTCTCTCAAGGTGACACATTTTTCACTGGTGAACACTGAATTTTATCATAGCTAGGTAGAGAGTACAAGTAATAAGGCATATTGTTAGAGTAGGAGACAAAGGTAAATATTTATAATTAGCCTTGATTTTTATTCATTATATATACACTACTTTGCTCCAAAAATGATTTAAGGTGGTTCTTGCCACAATCATGAATGATATTCTGGATAAATCTTCTCTGATCAATCTGGAAAGTGCTCACAAAGATAATACCCTTTCGAAAGCTGTTACTGACAATCATGTAGTAGCAAGGTGGCAGAACGAATCATTAATTACAATTTAAGTAAATGTCAATGTCATGCCAAATTTATTCTAAAATGACAAGCTTGTCCCAAGATTCTGAACTACTGTAACAATTCTGTGCTATGCATTTGGTATTCAATTGGATTGCCTTCCCAATATTTTTCTTGAACATTCTGAGCACTATAAACAACGGCTTGTGTACAGCAGATATTAATTCATGAGTTTAGTTGAAGTGAAATTCCCTGAGGCCAGGCGTGGTGGCTCATGCCTGTAAGTCCAGCACTTTGGGAGGCCGAGGTGGGTGGATCACCTGACAGGAGTTTGAGACCAGCCTGGCCAACATGGCGAAATCTCATTTCTACTAAAAATACAAAAATTAGCTGGGCGTGGTAGCAGGTCCCTGTAATCCCAGCCATTTGGGAGGCTGAGGCAGGAGAATCCCTTGAACCCGGGAGACAGAGGTTGCAGTGAGCCAAAATCACACCACCACACTTCAGCCAGGGCTACAGAGTGAGACACTGTATCAAAAAAAAAAAAAAAAAAAAATTCCTTGGGGCAAGTAAATGACAAGCTCAGTAAAGATATATAAAAGTTAAAATTTTATATATATATATATATATGAGATTGTGAGTAATATAGCGAGCCAAGATCAAGTCTTGCGTCTTTTAATATCCCTCACATAGAGTTTTGTGCAGAGTAGAGGGCTTAGTAAATATGTGCTCAGACAAGAAGAATGAAACTCAATTACAGAACACCATTACACATTAAACAATAAGGTGCTAATTTTGGACATATTCAATAACAAATTATTAGTTATGTGAAAAAGAAACCAGACCTAGAAATTTTAAGTAGTGGGATTTTGACTGTGTTATAATGAAAAGTCAGGGTGTGGATAAATGGAAAAGTAGGACAGAGATATTTAAATCAGAGGAAAACGTAGAGCTTGAGAAAGAAACATGAATGATATACTGAAAAGATCTCAAGGAAACAAATCTGCCTTTTGGAAAAAAAACTTTATTTCTCAGGAAAAGTGGGACAAATGGGTAGAGAGGTAGTTCCAAATTATAAAAGGTTTCAAATTCTAGGTTGAATAAACATAACCTAATACAAAATTATCAGGGGTTTTTAAAATTCAGAAGTGGCACAATAAAAGCAATGTCTTAGGAGGATTCATTTGAAATAGATATTCTTGTTATATGATACTAATGTGCAGAAGGTTGAATTTCAGATAACCCAAAAGTGATAAAATTACATAAACCTAAAAAGTAGGCCAGAGAGTAGGGCAACTTTCAGCCTAGAAATATAAATTGTGATACCGATTAATTAAATGCATAGATTTATGGTCCTAGTTCTGGGTTGCACAGCTAACTATGATAAAACATGGTGGCAGTAAGCAGGAGAACTAGAGGTGAAAGCTGTTCAATTAAAAATGTCTTGGCGGGGTGCGGTGGCTCATGCCTGTAATCCCAGCACTTTGGGAGGCTGAGGTGGGCGGATCACTTGAGGTCAGGAGTTTGAGACCAGCCTGGTCAACATCGTGAAACCCTGTCTCTACCACAAATACAAAAATTAGCCTGGTGTGGTGGCGTGTGCCTGCAATCCCAGCTACTCGGGGAGGCTGAGGCAGGAGAATTGCTTGAACCCGGGAGGCAGAGGTTGCAGTGAGCCAAGATCGCACCACTGCACTCCAGCTTCGGTAACAGAACGAAACTCTGTCAATAAATAAATAAATAAATAAATAAATAAATAAGTATCTTGAGTCTCTGTTTCTCTGGGCATCTCACTTGGATTTGGATTTTTTTTTTTTTTAATTATCTTGATTGGAAATAACTTTGTTTTAGGATGAGAGCAACATAAGGATACATGAAATGGCAGACCTACAACTGGGATGAATAAAGGCACCAGAAACCAGCATGACTAGTTCTTTTTTTTTTTTTGAGACAGAGTCTTGCTCTGTAACCCAGGCTGGAGTGAAGTGGTGTGATCTCAGCTCACTGCACTGCAACCTCTGCCTCCTGGGTTCAAGCAATTCTCCTGCCTCAGCCTCCCGAGTAGCTGGGATTACAGGTGCCTGCCACCACGCCCAGCTAAGTTTTATATTTTTAGTAGAGACGGAGTTTCACCATGTTAGGCAGGATGGTCTCGATCTCCTGATCTCGTGATCCACCCGCCTGGGCCTCCCAAAGTGCCAGGATTACAGGTGTGAGCCACTGTGCCCGGCCAAGCATGACTAGTTCTAAAGGTGGCCAGTGTTACAGCTGGGTACTCTCTGATAGTTTGGATATATTTCCTTCACAAAGGCTAACCAAGAAGACTGAAAATGACCCAAAGTAAATAAAGTAAAACATTGGGGCTCCTAAAGCCAGAAAGCAAATAACTCTTTCCAAGGATAATACCCATCTAACCAAAAGGTTGCATTGTAGTCAAATACCAACCACTTTCTTTCTTTTTTTTTTTTTTTTTGAGACGGAGTCTCGCTCTGTCGCCCAGGCTGGAGTGCAGTGGCCGGATCTCAGCTCACTGCAAGCTCCGCCTCCCGGGTTTACGCCATTCTCCTGCCTCAGCCTCCCGAGTAGCTGGGACTACAGGCGCCTGCCACCTCGCCCGGCTAGTTTTTTGTATTTTTTTTAGTAGAGACGAGGTTTCACCGTGTTAACCAGGATGGTCTCAATCTTCTGACCTCGTGATCCGCCCGTCTTGGCCTCCCAAAGTGCTGGGATTACAGGCTTGAGCCACCGCGCCCGGCCAGCCAACCACTTTCAAGTAAAGGAACTCAATACATGAGATGAGAACATGGTCAGCTTAAACTGACAATTAGCATAAAGAGATCCGGGTTCCAGAAAGATCTCAAGCTATTTTATGTGAGTAGTTTTCCAGATGGTATACGTTTTTATAATTTAAAAAAGTAACAAATTTCAAAGGTAATAACAGAAAACAGGCATTCTCTGCCTATCACCAAAGTATACTGTGAACCTTCCTGGTCATTTTGCTTTCTTAAGTACTTTTGTTCAATCCACAAAAATCTAATGTTTGAATAAAAAATAATAAAATATAACTTGATAAAATTTAATTCACACAGTTTCTGGATAAATGAAATTAGAAGAAAATTAGAAACCATTAGACTTATTGAACTGTTTTTTTGTTTGTTTGTTTGTTTGTTTTTGAGACGGAGTCTTGCTCTGTCACCAAGGGTGGAGGTGCAGTTGGTGCAATCTCAGCTCACTGCAACCTCCACCTCCCGCATTCAAGCAATTCTCATGCCTAAGCCTTCTGAGTAGCTAGGATTACAGGCGCCCACCACCACACCTGGCTAATTTTTGTATTTTAGTACATATGGGGTTTCACCATGTTGGCTAAGCTGGTCTCAAACTCCTGACTTCAGGTGATCCACTCGCCTTGGCCTCCCAAAATGCTGGAATTACAGGCATGAGCCACCATGCCTGGCCTGAACTTTTACATATGTATTTGCTTTCCATTATTTAATAAAAATCTCTAGGGACTTACAGTTCTGAGACATGATGAAATAGCTGCACTTCTCTCTACCCCTGCACAACTAAAAATCTTAGACATTATACTTGAAACAAACATAA